AGTTAGTTTTCGTTGCTATCTGTAGCATGTTAAGCGTGACAAATCAAAGAAGTTTACTGCTTAAATTAGTGGAAATACCACGCCAATTTGCCATTGACTAACGTTTCAGCAGTCTCTAACCCGCTGGTATAATAATATACACTTAAAACATAAACAGAAGCAAGCAACAGGATACATAATGATAAGACAGAGAATGATGAGTGATGAAGAAGTTGCGGATTGGTGTATAGAAAGTCAGTGCAGAGGAATACTTGAATGCGCCGGTTAACATGAAAGGACGGATTGGAGCACATTCCGCTTTCCCGCTTCTCGTTCTACGGAGTCCGAGCCATCTGTGAGACGGCAGATTTTTGTATGGTTCATCCCCCGCACAGATGCAGACATATTGGCATCTTGTGGAATGAAACCTTGAAGTGAATTTTGAAAGAGCTTGATGCAAAGTATGACGAAGATAGGTAAAATAAATTTGCCTAGCGTTGCAATACATCTTAAGATTTGTAATACCACGACGTTTGCGACATTCATCCAGGACAGCTGGCCTGTTCTACCGACAATTTTCAGAATCAGTAGAAAGTTGTGCAGGTTCACTTTACGAATTGTGAGAATGGGTGGGACCATGGAGGGCTGCTCCGTAAAGCCTAACCACTTGCCCCCCATTGTGAAGTTTTTTTTGAACATCATAGCGGCTCGGTCGTCACGCCGATTATTAACGCGGCGCAGGCTCTTTGGGTACAGAAACAGACTACGAAATGTTTGGGATGAAAACTTGTTTCATGGCATCTTGCAGCTGCTGATGTAGAAACACGGCGACGGCTTCCGAAGATACACAACATACCAGTCAGCGTCAGACCCGCTGACATTTTTGAACGGAGGAGGCAAATACGCAATGACGTTACGACACGTCAGTTAAGGATCAACGGTAACGATACCGAGAGTGAGAGTCGAAAGTTTGAACATTTGCTCAGTCAGATAATGCCGCAGGGTACCAACTCGATATAGTTGGACTCTCTTCAGCGAAGCGCCAAGGCCCCTGAAATTCTTAACTTCTGCGGAGGAAGCTACTTTACACAGGTGTCGACATCACGACGCGCGCTCAAGCCGGTGTTTATGTTCTGGCAGAACCCAGCCCGGCTCATACATTCATTCAATGGAAGTCTGACAGCGGAAGAATGGCAATCCTCTGACTGAAGCTACAACAAGCTAATGCTTTGACTTTGTTGCATTTCTCTGTGCCCAGTTTAAAGGGGCAATTGGATCCCTCCTTGAGGAAGTCGAGTGTGCTTCGTACAAAATGGCGACTACGAAGTTCCTCGTTGTAATGAGCTATTTTAATGCACATGTCACAGCTGACACTGAAAAGCGAAAATGCTTGATTTGAAAGAATGGCCCTAGCTATCTCAGCAGTAACGGTATGGAGCTATTGCTGTTTTGTGCAAACAATGGACTGTTTATTATGAACAACTTCAAGCATCGAAACATGCATCATTATAGCTGGTAGGGGGAAGCTTGTGCGCGGAAGTCGATGATCCACTTTATAATCTCATCATCTGATTTACGACCGCCTGTAATGAATGTCCGCGTTAAGAGAGACGCAAAGCTGCCAACCGATCACCACCTTGATATTGACACGCTATTTTGTGACAAATGGAGTACCATGCAACCATCTGCTGCAGAACAACCAGAAAATTATCTTTGGTGGACACGAAAGCGAAATTTGCAAACAACGTCGCACGACGGTTTGAACAGATCCCTGCGTTGACAACTGATGTAAAAACCGAGTGGCAGCTCTTTAAGAGCGGCATCTCGAGGCTGTCGCTGAATGCTGCGGATTTAAACGGGTTGGCCTGCCGCCTGGAGGTCAGAAAAAATCGTCATGAGTGGACAACTGGCAGTTAAAGAGGAGAAACCAGCGTTCAAGAAATGGCTTCGAAACAAAGAGCCTTCTA